AAACAATTCCCTTATGTACTTTTAGACGCTATGAATATAAATATACTGTTTCTTTATATCTAGACCTACACCGTGGAACGCGTGAATTGCAAAAACTGTAAAAATAAAGAAAACTTGAGCTTTTTACGATATTTTTCTGATTATTATTTGATATCTCAAATAAATAAATGGACTGTGTAAGACAAATTTAAGAAGAAAATTAAAAACTCCTTGCATTCCCTTGAGCTAATTAGAGTTTTGAAACAGATGCGACTTTTAATAAAGCTCATAAACATAACAGGAGGAAAAAAAAAAAAAAAAAGGCTTACCAGCGGCCGAGCGGTAAAGTCGCTGAACGTTGGTAGTTCGGTTTTCGAATCCCGCGAACGGGCTGGCTGCATGGTTTTTCGTGTTTTCCCCGTGTGAACGTGTAACGACCTTTTCCCTAGAAAGTCTTCCACGAAGGCATCCCTCCCTTTAAACAGATAGCCCTCGAGGCTTTGTCGTAATTAAATAACCTTAAAAAAAAGACTAGAAGAGGAATTTTTATTCAGAGCCTAAACTAATCGAAGACTACTTTTATATATGGTCATTCAGCAGAAAAGTTCTCAACCTTTTTCTTGCATAGACCCCTTTTATAGGAATACTTTTCTTAATCGACGTTCTTACATTTTTCTCCATATTATACAGTATACAACATAATCATGCCAAAAATAATTAACTTAAATAACAATTAGATTAAAATACTACCACAAGGTTTGAAAAAATGATTTGCTAGATTTACGCTTAATTTTTTTTTTTGACTTTTATTAAATTTTACACAGCTAAACAGTTTTTCAGAAACAAAATCACAGATTTTTAATTATACAAATCTGTATTATTATGTGATGGTTGTGCTTGATGTATTGATACACTTTTAGAAACGTTTGCCATAAAATCTTCTAATTTAATTTTTAAATTACCTCGTCCAAAAATATTCAACACGTTTCTTGTTTTTCATCCCAGTTTTGAGTTCTTCGTATTTTAATAATCGTGTCTGTATTCTTGAGATTTACTCTTTTATAATGCACTTGTTGCTTAAAAAATTTATATAGTAAAAATGCTATTGATTAAAAAAATTATCAAGTAATTTTATTTTTTCTTTATATTTATTTTACATGGTTTCTTCTTTTCTGTGTGATACAGCTTTATATAAAAAAAGCAGTTAATTATCAATTTTATTGATCGTTCTTTTTTGTAATCAATGGAATTTTAACCATGCCGATTATGAATTTTTGGTGCTTATTAGGCTCTCGACCGCCAATGGACTCCTTGGTCATCATTGACCGCTTTAATATATCATCAACTGTAAGGGTGTCAATACCTACCCCATTGGGGACACCTGATATAGAATAAATAAAATAAGATTAGATAGATATCAGGTGAAAATTTTGATTGGAAAAAAGTTTAAAGCAAAACTGACTTAGCGTATCATTGTTTCATGGCTTCAGCCTTCGCTATTGGTAGGTTTCAGATGCAAATTTGGGAATTTCTTTTTTGAACTTGGGATATAGATAGTTGTCTACTAGTGTATAAATCAAAATTTTCACTTACTTATAAAGATTATTAGGATTTGTTAATAGAATTTTTTTGTATTCTGAAAACTTGTTAATTACAGTACAGATTATTGCGTTTTTGACATATTTTAGTTTTAATGCATGAATTAAATTGTACTGAAAGAATGTTAGGTTATTCATCAAGTCGACAGGTAATTTTAAATAAACATAAACTATACTTTCATATTAAAATTTAATTTCCTTTTTAATCATTTTAAATATCGACATAAATTAATATTGACTCAGCATAGCGCCCATAATAAATTAAGTCACTTTCTACACTTTCAGTGTCTTTTTGCCGAGTGAGTCCAAAAGTAAACTTTCAGTTTTGTGCATCGAAAAGTCTGCCTTCTTGCCCGCTGGAAGAATTGCTTGTTTTTGAGTAAACACTTAATTTTTTAATTGTAAAGATTGTGTTTTTGGATTGTTTTAACTTTATTTGGTGTTTTATTTTTTTATTTTTCAATTTTAATGAAGATGTTTTGAGGTTTTATGTATTTTTGCCTTGCCTCGAACTGAGAGAACAGAGTTAATTGAATGAGAAATATATCTCTAATGAAATTCGAAGAAATAAATCTATATGAAATGCAACAAAAAGTGTGTATAATTTAATATTCCGTACAAAGAAGTAATGTGGTGAACACATCAGTTTTTTTTAAATCGTAAACATGAAATTTTGAATATTCTTTAATTTTGTTAGCGTTTGTCAGCACTCGCGTTTTCTAAGCTTTCTTTCTTGATGAGAAATGTGAAATGGAAGTGCACAGAATTTGCTTTCATGCACATCAATTTAATATTAGTAAAATATACATCAATTTAATATTTAAAATATATGTTATAGATTTATTCATGTGCTTATTAAATGCGAGAGTCTAGAGCGCTTGGAGGAGGAAGCCGTGTGTGTGGAAGAAATATATTTTATTGAAGATAATGCATAAATGCTGAAATCTCATTTTTTCTGACAAAGCGTGCTTTCAAACTAATTTAGTATTGAAAAGACGCTATAACATTTTTTTATTTTGATATCCTCCAAGTCAACATTGTAATCGACCAGAAGTAATAAATGTTTCTGCATTGCTGTTATTTCACATTCTTTTTAACTGTAAGTTTAGCTTAAAAATGCAATATTTTATTCATTCCGTTAAGAAAAAAAATATTCTAGACGAGTCATAAACACTATTTCTAAACATGGAGTAGCTTATGTTTAACAGTGTTTCTTGCAAAGCGCATCTGAACATTGAATTAAGAAAGAGAGAATAAAAGCTTTATGATAAACATCCAGCAACCTTTATAGTTATCCCTTAAAGAATAAAAGCTTTAGTTTGAAATAAAATAAAGCAGTTTTACATGCTCCTTACTTTTATTGCTTTGGGGTGTTTTTAACGTTTTCTTCTTCCAGGTCTATGTAGCTTATTCGATAATTGAAAAGCAAATAGATTGTTTTATTTTTAAAGTAAATATTTGCTTCTTTTCCTAGAAAATTATGTTTTCATTTCTATTATAAAATTTAAAATGTAAAAGTTAGGAATACATAAGTACCGATGAAGAAAGCTCTCACTATTTACATTAGAAATAAACACAGGAAAATACACTTTTTTTGCCAATTATCAAAATATATTTTTTATTCACATATCACACGCAGATCTCTAGACATGTTTAAGGAATTAATTGGGGAGAAAGAATAAAGAGTAGAAGCATGAGGTTGGATAGACATTAGGTTATTTGGAAGCATGAATCATGAAAAATGAGCAATACCTTAGCCGGGAATCGAACCTCGGACCTCTCTCGATACGCGCCGAGCATGTTGACCATTACACCACGAACACACGCTAAAAAGGCGGGAAAAATATCTTATGTACTCTTCCTTTTAAAGGGCGACTGGAGATTAGGCACTCAATTGCCAAATCCTGGTGGTGGAGAATCATCACTCACCACCTTTTTTAGTTCGGGCGCCACTGTAGAGACATTAGGTATTTTTTGAAAGCAGGACAGATGAAAAATGAAGCAGTGGCCTTCTGCCGTGACCGAACCCCGGACCTCCTCTCGAATACGCGTCGAGTGTATTATACTACGAAGCCATTACAGCACGAAGGCATGCTAAGAAGGCGGGAGCAATACCTTGTAAGGTTTACATAGACTGATAGAGTAGTTATAAAAATTATTTTGCTACCGGGCCACTAGTTTTTAGCAAATGTCTTGTGACAAAAATACGGTCTCGAAAAAAAAAATTGATACGAGATATATATACGTATAAAGATTTTTAACTGCTATAAAATAGATTCCATCTCTGCGTATATTCGCAATTGTTTTTTTTTTTTTTTTTTTTTTTTTTTTTTTTTTTTTTTCAAATACACCTATTCCGTATAACGTCTAAAATATTAAAAAGATACGACGTCTTCGGTTTATGCTGTAGGAAGGTTTATACGGTATATTTCATCCGAAAATGCATTTTTAAAATGCTTGGGATAAAATAAAAATTAAACAGATTTCCTTTTAATGATGCAAACAATAAGTCTAATATATTCCTGAAGTTAAACTGGCATTGGTGATACTTATAAATAACTGCTATTACAATCTCAAATAATTAGGAAAATCCTGAAACTTTCACCCGTAGCACATATACTTATCATCTTTATAATAATTTATTGGTTTATAACCTTGAAGGGCGTTGTCATGCAAAGAAAAATATTTCACGAAACTTAGTAAAGATTTAGGATTTTACTTGTAACTAAATATTTCGAATAAGTCTTTGGACCGGATAAGTCTTTGGATTCGGATAAGTGTTCGGATAAGTCTTTGGACCAAAATTTTGTGATTGTTGATGGCGGTGATGAATTCAAAAGCAAGGATTACTTTTTCGGGAAAAGGCGCCCAGAGAACGATAAAAAGAGTAAAGCAAGCATAGAAATTTCTTGTTAAACGTGCCCTTTTATCTTAAATGGATATGTACACTAGGCAGAGGAAGAGTCTACTGCTTAGTCTACTACAGACAGAACAAGGATGCTGTATCATACAAAATTTTTCCCCCCTTCTTTTCGTTTTAAATGCTTTTAGAAATACTTCGTTTTCAGAACATTGTTTTTTAGATGTCTGGTTCCTGTCAGCCTACATCCTACCAGAATTTTCTGTAAAATTCTCGCTGTTACAACTTATTTTTCTTTATTAATTTTTCTATAAAATATTATCTGAAGCATTCTATTATTAACTGAAATTTTCAAAACAAGATGGAAAGTACGTGTATCAGACGCATCTACTATTGTGTTAAATTTTGAAATCTTGTCAACAATGAAAAATCAAAATTTATTCACTTTTCTCAAAATATTATCATCCGTTTGGACAGAAAAGTAAATTTCTGGCTATACAAATGTAATATTTATTTGAGAAAAATACGAGAAGCTGTAATTTATGCAGTTAATTTCTATGCAGGGGAAGTAATGTTTCCAGCTGAAGGCTCTTTTGTTCAGACTGGACCATCCGGCCATACCAAAATTAATGAAAACTATTCAGCCGCAGATCAGGCTCATTGCTCAATTCCTGCTTTTGAATTTGAACAACCTTGCAGAATTCCACTATGCAGTGCTGATGACTTTTCTGGACCATACAAAGACTTCCACCCACCAGGAAATCGAACACCAGCTGTAGGTGAAAGGATATGGGGAGATCCACCCTATTTGCGTTCATATTTGGATCCCATTTATCAACAGCGTACAAGCGCCTGTGGGCATACAGACAACTTATTATTCCGAGGATCATTTTATCAAGGAGATACTGAAGCCCATGAAGAATTTGTTAATCATGGAGTACCTTCTCCGAAAAAGTACCATAAATTTATTCGCCATTATGAACCACCTGGAATGAAGCACAACAAGAGTATCACGCAAACTGATTTCGTGCCTCCCTATCCTATGCTTCCCAAAGACAAGTTTCCATGTTTGGCGGAAGAGCCTGAGAAATCCTGGTATACTAAAAAGCCATCCAGGCCTAAGAATCCTCACGCCAAAGAGTACGAACCCAAACATGTAGAGCCTCAAGTAATTTATATTGATGAAGAGCCTAAGAGAGATTTCAGCACTGAAACCGGAGACAATTACATTTGCTTCCAGAGGCCGAAGCAAAGAAGAAAATATGCAGATCCTAAACCTACCGAGCATGAGATTTTCTTCAACAACTTGAGAGATAAACATCAAAAATGTTCACACCAGCCACCAACTCTCGATGCTTGCGATTGTGGTTGCGAGAAAAGAGGCTTGTGTTGTAGCCAAGTAAATTCTATTTCGGAGAAAAATCCATGGTTTCTCTTCCCGCGAAACTATCCATCGAAGTATGGGTTTATGATCCTTCCAAGTAAATGTGACCATGAACAACATCAGACGGCGACATAATCTCCACAAATTATTTACTGAGCAGTTAAAGATTTTAATTATGAAGACCAAAGAAGTAACAAGGAATAAATGTAAACCTAGAGACACTACGCCTTTGATGTAAACTATACCGATATTGGAATTTTGACAATAAAATTAGGGTTTAAATTTAAATATCAGAAAAACATTTTTCTTCTTTCATCGGTTTTTAATTCACGATTAAAATTTGCTTCCATAGTGATCGAAGTTTTTTTCCTTCAAGAATATGAATCAAACTTAATAACTGCAATGCTGCAGATCTTATCGAAGTTCCATGTT